ACACACACACACACACACACACACACACACTTTTATGTAAGCCCCTTGTCATACTGGCTGTACAAAGCCTGCAGAGAAGTCAGTTATTCTCTTAGGTGCTGATACATTTGACAACTCAGGACCCTTTTCAATTTTTTAAAAAATATTTTATACATTGAATGTTTGGTTCCTGCATTATATCTGCATGCCACATGTGTGGCCTCTTGCCTGTGAAGGTCAGAAGAGGGCATCAGAACCGTTGGAACTGGAGTTACAGATGGTTGTGAACCTCCATTTGCGTTCTGGGAATTTGACCTGGGTCCTCTTAACTGCTGAGCTCTGCCTCCCAAGTTCTAGGATTAAAGGCATGCACCCCCCCACCATCCAGTGAGTTAATTTTTCTTAAAAAAAAGTAATATCTGTGACCAATTAAAAAGTTTTAGGCCAGGCAGTGCTGGCATATGCCTTTAACCCCAGCATTTGGGAGACAGAGGCAGATGGATCTCTGTGAGTTTGAGGCCAGCCTGGTCTACAAAGTGAGTCCCAGGACAGCCAGGGCTGTTACACAGAGAAATCCTATCTCAAAACAACAACAACAAAAATTTAGTTTTATATTTTTCTATGTGTATGTCTCTGTATGGGTTTGTGCCCATGAGTGCAATGCCTACAGGGGGCAAATCAGGGCAGAACACCCTGGAGCTGAGGTTCCAGAGGGTTTGAGCCTCCTGACCTTGGTTATGAGAACTACTCAGGTCCTCTGGAAGAACAGCAGGAGCTCTTGACTGCTGGGCACTGCCCCTCCTCCACCTCCATTCTCGATGCCTGCCCACCTCTCTCCTAATGCACACTGTGCTGGCCTCAAAGAACGCTCTGCTTCGCCTTTATCTCTGTGCTTCTGTGCCTGTTCTTTGTGCTTCTTGCTGTTGTTTTTGTATAAGGGTATCCAGTTCTTTTAGCATTACTGTCAAAATTCTGTTTATTATACTTATGGAAGTTCATCCCCAAAGTTTGTATTTTGTTTATTGAGTGCTTTTCTATTATTTCTCCAGTGCCACGCCATTTTGATTAATGTGGCTTTATTGTATATCTTGGATTAGATGGAAAAAATTCTCCAGCTTCCCTTTCAACATTGCAGATATTGTACAAATTTTAGAATTACGGTTGATTGTTTGTTTGAGTCACTGATGGACTAGCCTGAGTCTATTTTGAGATTAGGAACTGTCAGCCAAGTGTGGCGGCCCACACCTTTAATTCCACCACTCAGGAAGTAGGTAGAGGCAGGAGGATCTCAGCACAGTCAAAGTTACACAGAAATATTCTGTCCGCAAACCCCACAAAAATAAAAAGGATTAGAAGCAATCTTGTTATGAGGTCAAGATA